GCGAAGTTCCATAGCGGCAATACCGATATGGATTTATCCCAACACACCTCACTTAGGACGCCAGCTAAGCTCGCTACCAATCCGGCCAGCAGAAATTACCAGACCGATGGATTCCTTTGTCATCATGGAAAAATGATTAGGAAAAAAAAAAGAAAAACAATAAAAATTACCAGCGGTGACGAAAAAAGAGCTCAAACAGGAGTGAACAAGCGGTGACGCAACAAGACAAAAAAAAAATGAAATTTATCCTTTTCACGTCTTGTTAATCATGGCACAGCAGGCTCCCGAGTTCCTGAGCAAGTTCATTCAAGAGAGGACAAAACCAAACTTTACCCAGTTCATCAACAATCACATTCAGGATGTCAAGACTGCATCTGTGATTGTTGCTCGCAAATCTCCCGAGCAATTGTATGAATTTTGGAGTGGTTTGTTTAAGTTTGAAATAGAAAAGCAGATGAAGAATTCCCAAAGGTAAAAATCATACGTTTTTGTAAATATGAAATCACTATTACATTTTTTTTTTTTCACTGCAGGAAAATTTCATACCATGCCGACACATGGATTGAAGTGAAGAAGTCTGTGAGTGCTCTGGTAAGTCAATAAGCAAAGCGATGCATTGTTTTCTAATTTTATTATTGTTCATTTCAGTTTCGTGCTCGTCTTCGTTATCAGACTGAAGGACTTGAAGCCATGTCGGATGTTGCAACCATGTCCCGTGTTTCCTTGTCCCTGCAGTCATCTTGGTCCACCACCGAACTTAAGTCGGGCGGGTCCACTCATGTCTCCGATGGAGACGAATTCAACGAGGAAAAACTAAGCGAGAAAGAGTCAAGCTCACAGTCATCGTATAATCCGAGCAGTCAGTCCTCATCAACCGAAATCGTCACTTCTCGCAAGCCCATTTACTCGTATTTAATTGGCGCAGACATCGAACAGTACATTCGCCCTACCAAGCCTTCCCAATGGATAATCGGTGAAGTTGACCTAACAGAAAAGTTTGGAGTATCGTGCCTTGATCGTCGATAACGCACGCAAAATGAAGGCCTTGTCACAAGTAGATCAGCTTGCCCTAAACTTTATCTGCCTTATCTCCAACAACTCTAAATCTGGCAATTTAACGGACGGAGACGTGTGGGATATCATGGTTGAACAATGCCGAGATGAGATCCCTCTGCAACCCTTAAACAGGCCACATAGTACATGATGCCACAATGTGAACGAAATAGCCCGGACGAATGTTAAAGAGGCAAAACGCATTGTACAGGACGCCAAGGTCTCGGATGATCTTGCTGTTGTGTATCGTGACGTCTACCATGATATCCTTAGGGCTTACTTTAGCAATTACTCTGCTGATGGTGTGAATGAAGATACCTACATGCATGATGCACTGCAACCACTGCTCAAGGCATATTTCCCGAACGACGATATCATCTGTCGGGAAGGTGCCAACGGTACTATTAAAGCATCTAGCTCTCGCAAGCAGAAGTTCGACCCTGACTCCCATGGCCGCAAGGGCGATTGCAGTGTAAAGACCAATGATGGATGCCTCAACCAACTGATACTCCTGGTTGAGGTCAAGCCCCCTCGCAACACCACAAGCAATGACTTGGTCAAGCTTGGCAAGTGCCTCAAGGACGTCGTTGATAAATTGGATGAGGATGGTGTTCGGGATGTATTAGTTTGTGGCCTGTTGGCTGAGGGCTATCATTGCAGAGCCTTTGCCATGGATCTAAAATTTCACGGCCTGTATCGCATGATTCATCTTGGTATCTTTTATGTACCACAAGACTCGAACAACCTGGATGTGCTATGCGGCGCCTTCCAGGTCATGAACCTCCTCATGCCCATCGTCATCCGTAACGCCAAGCACATCAAAAAGCAAACTCGTAAGCGTGCCCCTCCATCCACAATGGCTCTCCCATCATTTGAGTCGCCCATCCGCATCAACGAAGAACAAAAGCGGCTCTTACTTAACATGTCGAATCCCCGTGTGAAACGTGCTGCCAGAAAACTCAATTTTGGATAATGATGTGATCAGTGTCTCTCCCCTACATACATACTCCTCTTTTTCTACAATAATGCACATTTTCCTATTCATATATTCCTTTTCACTTTTTTGTTTACAATCTTCATGTAGCACTGCGGTATTAGATCCCCCCCCTTTTTTTTTTTCCTCTGTGCTCTTGTCGAGTACTGTTGTCGATGGCTTTAGCCAATAAAAGCGAAACACTTGCATTTATTATCAATTGGGGTATGCGGGTTAATGGACTATTTGTATGCCTATTTTTTTTTTTT